ACCAGCGTCCACAGATTCCGTCCAGTTTGCATGAGCAATCAAGAGATTAGTTGTACAGGAGCGATTTCTGCGAAATCCATGCTGTTCCGGAACGAGAATTTTGTTGTTCTCCAGGTACCCCATTAAAGCCTCAGTGACGATGGACTCCATAACCTTGGAGATCACAGGAAGGAGTGTTATCGGGCGATAATTTGCTGGATCAGCACGACTGCCACTTTTGTAGATAGGCGTGATGATTCCGTGCTTCCACATCGTGGGGACGTGCATCTGGTTCATACATCGTTGAAAGAAAATTGCTAATGGTCCTGCCAAACTCCTGGCAGAAACTTTCAACGCCTTCGGTCGAATGCCGTCCGCACCCGGGGAGCTGAACTCGCGCAGAGACATCAGCCTCTTCAGTACAGCTGCTGAGGTAAACGATATGTGATTTAGCCCTGATGGCGGCGTTATCTGCTTAGGCAGGATGTACGGTGCTTGCTCGCTTTGGAAGGTACGGCCAAATTGTTGTCCAAGGATGTTGGCTGCCTCTTGTGCGGTTTGGGCTAAGCCGCATGCTGTGTGCAGGGCAGGAATACCGCGCTTAACACGGCGCAAATTGTTTACGTGTCTGTATAGCAGCTTGGGATTGGAGTTAAACTTTTCCGCTAGACTTTGTTGGTTCTTAAGTTTATCCTCTCGAACGAGTTTGACACAGTGGTTCCTGTGTATTGTATAGACATCCCAGGTATGATCGTTCGGGGAGGCTTTATAGGTATGCCATGCCAAGTCCCTTAATGCCATGCACTTACGTGTCCTGCTCCTTACGAAAGACTTCATCCTTTTGGTCCGGTAGCGTTTGGTTTCAGATGTCCGTGCCACGAGCTTGGTAAATATGTTGACGAATTCACCGCATGCCACCTCAGGCGTTAATTCAGCTAAGAACGACCAGCTGGTTGCATCAATTAGGTCGGACAGGTCTTCATAGTTGGTTATGACACGATATGCCTCGGCATGCTCTTTAGGATAATCCGCGTAGCACATGTAATGAAACAATAGCGTCGCATAATACGTACAGTACGGCACTGTAACCAATAAGAAGTGGGTTAATGAGATAGCATCGGTTATCATTTGCTAGTCTGTACGGTATCCTATGCGACGGTAAATTAGCTGACTGCGCGGCTTGCAAAGTGCGGAATTGTGCAGCCCCTGTGCAGACGCAAGTACCATCCGGATTGGTACGCATTAATGACACAAACAGACCGAACTCCCTACTGAGGTTACGTTACATATAACAACCGTTTAGTGTGTTCGACCATAAGTTGCACAAAGTAACTACCTGTGACGAAGTGACTCATGGTAGATCGCCGGCAGCTTTGACTAACTTTCTCACCACCTTCAGATCCCGCAAAGATGTTTTGCCAGAAATGGACATACCTTTGGAAAACTAAGGAAGGTACAGATTTCTTGAAAAGGAGACCAAAGTAAACAAACTTGTCCATAGTGTAGTTAGAGACTAACACTTTGCGTTCGACACGAAAGCTTTTTCAGGCCAAGCGAACGAGGTTGAAAATAATTGCAATTATCGAGATGGCGGCAGGATGTTAACCATCTTACAGGTCAGTGTTATTTTAAATGGCACATTAGAGATGGCAAGCTCCTAGGTGGTTCATTGCACGAGGTCACCATACTAAACCTCTGTCTGCTACGTCAGTAGGAGTGCTTTGATGTTGGCGCTCTGCCGCAGGTCAGTCCGCCGACGCCCGTCAGACTGGCCGGTTGGGACAGTTCGCCACATACTCGATAAGTACACAACATCTACTCTGTCTGCGCAGCAGCTGGCTT